ATACAGTAGTGTTGTCACTATCATCAATGAATTCAATACAGTAGTGTTGTCACTATCATCAATGAATTCAATACAGTAGTGTTGTCACTATCATCAATGGATTCAATACAGTAGTGTTGTCACTATCATCAATGAATTCAATACAGTAGTGTTGTCACTATCATCAATGAATTCAATACCGTAGTGTTGTCACTATCATCAATGAATTCAATACAGTAGTGTTGTCACTATCATCAATATTGCCTACTGTACAATATCCCCCTTCTCACCATAGCCTCTAGCCCCGCCTCCCGTTCCTCAGCCAACTTCTTCTCCATCGTCTCCTCAAGTGCCATCTTAGCCTAGCGATAAACAATCATCATCATGATCATAATAATGATGATAATCACCTCTAGTAAATTTGCCATAGTCCTCTTCACGAGCCCTCAACTTTTCCAATGCCTCTGCTAGAGATTTCTCAAGATCAGAGCATCTACAACAATGACATAACAAGGTAATGTAATACATTGGAGTTTCACAACAACAACAACAACCCCTTTTACATGGAGTGATCTAATATTCTGTGAAAAAGCCGATATTCAACGCGGTGAAATGCAGTAGTCGTGGAATATACTTATCACTATTGTTTTTCATATCACTAGGGTGGTGAAGCTTCGTTATCACCCATCCGTTCTGCAATACATTATCAGCTATCACCCTAGTCTAGACTGACGATACAAACTATGCCCTTTTCAACAGCTACTTCACGCCTACTATAAAAATACAGTATCCCAGAAATATAGCAAAACTTATTCATTTATGGGAGTATCACTCGTTTTACGTGTGCGATAACAACCAAACACGATCTGTATAGGGACCGACGGAAGGGGGAGATAAAATAGATAAAAAAGGCAGCGACAGGAAAAAAAAGATGAGTACGCTCTACACTAGCGACGACACACTTTGGAGCAATCGTATGTGAAGTGATGTAAATACCCAGATGGTACACGTAAAGTGGCGTAACAATTCATACTAAAGACGCGATATTAACTCTATGAAGTGAATTGAAAATACTTAGCGTTGAATAACACCGAAACATTACACCAACATTCACTGCACACATGCGCTCTTCACTAAGAGAAATGTGACATATGTTTTTCCTATCACTAGTGTCGTGAAACTCCATACTACTATCATAGTACGCTACAATTCATACAAACATTTATTCACTTCACACACTGCGATTCTCTGGATCGTCGTCCTCACTGTGGACGTACTGTCCCACATAGTAGAGTAGAACTCCTAGGAAGAACGAATGCAAGTACAGGGGAGTTTCACGGCTGGCCGCCCTAGTGATATTAGAAAAAACAACAACACTAAGGAAAACATATTTCACGACTACTGCATATCACCACGTTTTTCACTTCACGTAAAACGGTTCGTAAAACTCATATAAATATACGATTCCTCTCTACATCGTCTCCCCACTAAACATTACCTTTTCTCACTAGTTTCCAGTTCCCTCCTAATCTCCATCACACCAACTTCCATAACCTCCTCTTCCTCCTGCCTCTCCTCCTCCACCACCACACGTGCCCTGCTTTCCTCCACTTCTGCTGCTGCTACACGCATCGTGCTGCTGCCCAACATCATCATCTTTTCCTCCAACTCCTGTATCTACAACAGCAGGGTAGAAAAGTATATTGAAACCTCACGTTCTCAATGAAGTGTGTTTTAAATTCTTTCTCAATAACGCTTCAATTTTCATACGTGTTTTCTCCCATGTACCGAAAGCTGTTATTCCTATACAGTGCTGGAGTAGGAATATATGTAATCGCTTTCCTCAGCAGCTGAGTTCAGGAGTTTCTTATACAGCGTTGGAGTAGGAATATATGTAATCGCTTTCCTCAGCTGCTGAGCTCAGGAGTTTCCTATACAGTGTTGGAGTAGGAATATATGTAATCGCTTTCCTAAGCTACTGAGCTCAGGAGTTTCCTATACAGTGTTGGAGTAGGAACATATGTAATCGCTTTCCTCAACAGCTGAGTTCAGGAGTTTCCAACACTTATTATAGGAGTTTATATACGACAACTCCTCAAATTTTCATCATCACATGTGGTTGACAATGTGCATATTTTCCCACACAGAATATTCATCAGTTTACTAAGCACTTCATATCGACTATTACCTTTTCCCGCCATCTCATCTCATCTCTTCCTCTATCCTCAACTCCTCCATCCTCACATTCATACTACTACGCTCCTCCTAAAGATATAATAAAAATTTACTCTCATACCGTACCTTTACCAAATTAAAAAAAATGATATATTTATTTTATTGATAATGGAAAGTATGCACATGGTCAACTGCATGTGTTGGTGACAATATGCTTTCTCTATATTTTCACCCAGCATTTTATGTATGTAAACTCTACCAAACTCAGCTGAGGAAAGCAAACACATCCTCAAAGACTTCATAATTCTCTCGAGAATATAACAAAAAAACCAATACCAAACCAACACTCATACTACTCTACGGAGCCTTTCTATACGCTTTCATCGATTCTCACATACATACGTATATACGGGTTCCTCAGCTGCTATGGCCCCGGGCAGCAGCATCAACATCATCGACAGTGTATATGAAGTGATCCACACAATGGGGTTAGTTCCTCCTCCTCACTTTTAATGCTCGAGCCACTGCTAGTTGTACTTCTCTATCGATTCGACTTTGAATATACTCACTCATAACCTCGGGGTACACCTGACCATACAACTATCAACTACCGTGAGAACCGAACTACACCAAAACTGTTCATGAAGTACCCACATGGTGATACATTGACAAAGGTTTATGAATGGTATAGTCCTCTAGCATAGCGGCCCCACTCGGTAAATAGATTTCTGAATGGTATGGTCCTCTGGCATATCGGCCCCATTCGGAAAATAGATTTCTGAATGGTATAGTCCTCTGGCATATCGGCCCCATTCGGGAAGTAGATCTCTGAACGGTGTGGGGAATCCCGAAACCTCGTTAGAAGTTCGAAGAACACTCTCTCGTTAATGAGTATTTCTTCCAAGAATGTCATGGAAGGGCTTCTTGTCTGCTCACTTCTCACAAAAGCACTACTCGTTTCTTCCACTTGAAAAATCCCGCTACTAGGGATCGAACCCGGGACCTCCCTCTCCTCACCCGAGATGCAAGTTTGGACCCCTCTACCACTGCCATCATCAGCCTCCTCGTCATCTTCAATTTCAAATCTTCCCTTTATATCCCTACCACTTCATTTCCAAATCCATCCCATCTCCAACCTACCCCATCTCCTTCCTCCTAGCCTCAGCAAGAGCATCTTCGAGCACAGCAATTTGACTTCGCAACGACGCCACGACTGCTCTCAAAAACTCCATCTAAATCAACAACAAATACTCAACA